TAAGTTCATGTTTTTTGATAGTTGTTTAGAAATTAAATAATACACTTTCAGTACCTCGAAATCCTTTTAGAATTGCAAGAATTGTTTGTTTGTTTTGGTTTGGTTTGGTTTGGTTTGGTTTTGAGCATTGAATGATTCAGATAATTCACCAATCGAACGAATACGAATTCGAGTACGAAGTAACGAGTAGTATCGATTTAATCCAAAAAGAAGAGCGGCAGCGATCCGCAAGATATTAAAAAAACGAGCAATGGTTATAAACAATAAAAAAATATAATTAAACAATTAGATTTCTTAGACATTTTTTAAATACTAAACTTCCATTTCTTTTTATCTGGGCTGAGAAAAACATACGTAACTAGCATAATTTTCTACTAAAAATTCACTGAATTGCAATTAAGAAATAATTTTACTTGGTGCTTGTATGAAATTTCAATACCAGCGAGTAGTGTGAAAGAAAACCAAAACAAAAACAAATAATATATATATACGTATGAAGCGCGTGTAACAGAATGATGGGGAAAACAACACCAAAAAAAAAAAAAATAGAGAGACTATAAAAAAATATTTACTTAACATACAATTAAATGGGAATTAAAATGAGTGAAAAATTAAGCCTAACTTACCTATTCGAATTTATTAGTTGAAATTTACAACAAATAAAGTAATTGCAAATTATGAAGAAAAATGAGCTATTGATAACTAACTAATCAAGAAAATAAGCTGACTTAAAATAGCGAATGCACACAAGGACCATCTCAAAAGTTACCAATTTAGACAATTTTACATATTTATAGCAATTTTTGCTTTCAATTCAAAATTGCATACATATGAATGCTTGTTGGCAGTTCCATTGCAGCCGTGTGATTCTTTGGCCGTAATAAATTAATTAAATATGAATTAAAGATTTCTCAATAGACTCAATTTGAATGTTCGACACAATATTAGTTTGACTAATTAATAAAAAAAAAATTCTGTCAAAATTAAAATGTGTTAATTTTCAACGGAGATGTCATAAATTCGTATTGATTTATTTCTAAGTTATATACAAGAAGGCAAAAAGTTTCAAATAAATATTGAATTATAAATCTTTTATAATCAAAATGGAAAAATAAGTTTAATAACGGTTCATAGAAGCACGATGAGCTTGGAATTTGGTTATTTTCTGTTATAATTAATTCGATTGCATTTTATATTTACTGTATTGCATTATTTAATATTTTTTTATTTTGCTTAAATTAAAGTATACTTTATTTTCTACAATTAAAATTTTTTTAAATATTATTTTATATATTTTGTTTTTGCTTTATTTTGCCTCTTTTTATTGAGTTTTTTAATTTAATTTTAATTAAATTCATTTTATTTTACACAATGTTAAAAACTGATTACTTTTTACTTTTCAATATTAAAGATTTGACTTTCTTTGAAACTATGTTATTTTAATAATTATAATTTAAAATTTTATATTTTATTTTAGTTTTTATTTTTATGAAATTTCGGTTTGGTTTATCTTATTTTTATTAATGTTATTCATGGCATTGCATTATGTTTTATTCTTTATTTTGTTTTTTTTTTTTACATTTCATTTAATTTACTGTAACTCTAATTATACTATTTAAATAAGGTTTACATTATTCAAATTTCATAACTTTTTTTTTTGAAATTCAATTTAATATATTTTTTTTTTGGTTTAATAATATCATTTTAATCTATCTTATATAATTAATTTTATTTACTTTTTCCGTTTTATTTTACTTCAAATTATTTACTTTAGAGTATTTCACAGAATTCTTTTTTGGTTTTATTTTAATTTACTAACTTTTGAAATTTTTTTTTGGTATTTAATTAATTATTTATTAATTATGCTAAGTTTCATTTTTTTTTATTAAATAAACTAAAGAACAGTCAAACGAACAACATAAAAGATCAAAAAAGAAATTTTAGTAAGATTTACGTAAAATAATTGCAATTAAACTTCGTTTAATAGAGAGTAAGTAAATGTAGTTGAATTGCAATTATTTTATGTAAGCTTTAATTATAATTATTTTTGGTTCTTTTAAGTTTGTTCGTTTTACTATTCCTTAGTCTACTTAATTTGTTTTTGTATTATTAAACACTTTGATTTGTTTAGCTCATTTAATTTTTAACTACTTTGTTTTTATAAATATACTTATAGTTATGTTATTCATTTTACTTTATGCTATTAATTTTATTTAGTTTTATTGTAATTAAGTTTATTTTATTATACTTCACTATTCTCATTTTGTTTAATTTTCTTTATTGTTTTACCAATTTATTGAAAGTATTTTAGCTAAATTTTCGAATTACTTTGATTCAATTAATTCACTTAAATTCAGTATTAATTTATTTTATTTTACTTAAAGTTATGTTAATAATTCTGTATAAAAAAAGGTTAATATTATTAATTTTACATTGTATAATTTAATGAATTCCTCTCTATTTTGTTGAATTTTACATTATTTAATTTAATTTAATTAATTTTCATATTACGATTTTTAATAACCTCATTTTGCTTTAGTTTATTTGCCATTAAATTTTAATTTTGTTAATAATAATTTCATTACTTTTACTTTGTTATGTTAAATTTTATTATTAATTAATTTGCATCTTTAATTTTAACTTAATCTATTTTACTTGGACTAATTTTTTTTAGTTTAATATAATTTCAATTTATTTGTTGTACTTGATTTTATATTTTTATTGCTGGTTTTATATTAATTGATTTTATTTATTTAATACCTTTTTTCTATTTTATTTTAACTTATGTTATTTCGAATTTTATTTTATTTTATTTTGGTATATTTTACTCAATTTTATTATCATTGTTTTATTTTCCTTTATTTAATCTTTTAATTGTACTTTCTTTGACATTTTTTATTTCAAAGTAATTTGTTATATCTAATGTTGATTTCATTTTAGTTTATTTTACTTTATTTTCTTTCATATAATTTTTCTTTATGTCTTATTTATTTTGTAAGGGTTGTCGTGTAAATTTGCTTTACTTTATTTAGATTTATATTTTATTTCATCTGAATTTTATTTGCATTTAAGTAAGTTTTTTTCTATTATTTTCTTTAATTATGTTATATTTTATATTAATTTGTTTCATTTTCTTGTTTATTATATTTAATAACGTCTTATTTCTTTTTCACTTTGTTTAGTTTAATCTATTTTAGTTTGACTTTATAATGTTGCTACATTTTGTTTTATTTTATTTTATTTATTTTTAATGTTTTTGCGTTCTAATTTTCATAACAAAAACTGAAATTTTTTCTCTAGAAGCATAAAATTCGATGATTTCACAACCGGAACAGTATTTTTATATTAAATTGAAATTACTAAATTAAAAATAAAAAAAAATTATTTAATTTATTTGAGCGTTCAATGAATTAATAATTACATCTTTAAAAATTTAAAAAGGAATTATAAGTGAGATAATGGTAAGTTAATTTGCTTAATATATATATTTTATTAACAATAGAAATGAAAGTGTACTTTTTATAATAAAAAATTCAAAACAGAGCGGTAGAGAATAAGAAAATGAGAGAAAAAGTTAAATAGAGAGGCACAATAGATAGACAGAGCGAAAAATATGCACTTTACACGTTTACATATACATTATATTTTATAATTTTAATAAAAAATATTCATTTGCATTGAATAGCCCTAACAAGTTAACAATTAATTAAAAAATTTTGTTTACTATCTCAATTTTTTTTCTAATCATATTTATAGAGAATTCTTCTTCAATTTCACAAATATTTTGATTAATTATATGTATGTAGCAAAAAAAAAATTAAATAAAATGAATATCAATAATGATGAATGATGACGTTTGAAATAGTAAGTATTAAAAATATTACATAATAGCTGTTAGTAAATAAAATTTTTAATGTATAAATATGATTTAGTATTTGGCATTCAGTACATTCACTAGCAGTTTATGATTAATATTTTTTAATTTCAAATTTCCTTTGCTTTGCTTATAGTATATCCGTACATTAAAAAAAAAAACTAAATAAGACAAACAATTAAGTTATGAAAAATAGTCTAATTTTAGGCGTCAGGAATGATGGATTTTTGATCATTTATGCTTTTACTCCAGCCGGATTTGAAATAATGAAATATCAAAAGGACAAACAAGCAAGCTAACGTTATTTTTTTTTTAATTTAATTATGTTAACAAAAAGAAATAAAAAAATAAAAAAAACTAAGTTTAAGCGAAAGTAAAGTAATAACTGTTATAGTAACTTAAACATTTCCTATCAAAATAATTAATTTTATATTTCTAGAGGCAAAGTATGGTACACTCCCCATATTTCATTATAGAACAAATAATTATTCTGAGGCAGATTTTTTAAATAAAACCAAAATTAATATATATGATTTAAGAAAAATTTAATTTCGTTGTTGTAACGCATATTGGGGCTAACAGAATCGCAGAACTAAATTTTTATGAAACTTTATTAAGTAAGAATTTGGTAATTTCCAGTAACATATTTTTTTTAGAAAAATTTATAATAAAAATTGAGAAGGTCCTTGCTATTATCGTAATGAAAATTAAAATTTCAAAATTGTATATGAGTAGTTTTACAAATGTATGAACTTTTAAGAAACCAAAAAAAAAAAAAAAACAAAAAATAATAATTCTATTATAAACGCAAAAAAAAATTTATGCCGGAATTTGAAGAACGAAATAAAAAATTTCGGGTTGACGTAGCTTTACAATTAAAAATAAATTCACAAAAAAAGACAACAATTTAAAGATTAGTGTTCGAAAAGAAGCATTAAAAATATTGGAAATAAAATATCACTGAAATGATTATTTATATAAACTTCACATCTTCCCACAAATACCTAAAATCTTTTTTACACCGTAATATTCAATTGAGTAATTTATATTTGGAGTTTGCGACATTCAAATAATGTTTTGAAAATGCCACAATCTGGCATAAATTATTGAAAATCAATTTACTTACCTTGCTGTTGGAAAACAACAAACCAACACCCTCTAAGCACACCTGTAAAAGGCCACCCTCGCCGGTGATCATATCCTGCACGGGAAATTCACCACCCAGCTCGGGTATATTTTTAGGCGTGCCGCTGCGCTCCATAGACTCTTTGATACAATTATAAAGATCGCGACACTGTAATTAACAATTAAAAAAAATTATTTTTGGATATTTAATTCATTTGAACGAATTAACAAATGTTTCAATTAGCGCTCACCTTGCGCGTATAGAAACGGTTGAGTTGTATCTGTCCACCATTACGTCGCCAGAGACAGAGTACTTTTGTTTTAGGTGAATAAGTCATATTGACTAAACGTTCGTAGAACCAACGTTCCACTATTGTGCCATCTACCGAGCGTACAACGAGACCATCGTCTCGCACCTCCATAAAGAGTAGCGGTGTGGAGTCATCTGAACCGGTGTGCACGGTGAAACTCTGACGATGCAGTAGTCTCGAACCGAGCGGTTTCAGATCGATGTCATTGCCATTCTGTGGTATGGTGATAATGAAGAAGAAGAATGACAAAATAAATTAAGATCATTTGGCTTACAATAAAACCTTCAGCTAGCTACTCACGAGATTATTTATTTGATCTACAACATTGTGCACTTCGGTCGAGTACACCAAACCAATGTGGCTTTTGCCCAAGAGTCGTCTGATCTTACGTCGTATCTCCTCTTTGTTGACGCCCAGCATAACGAGTATGGCGGTAAGATTATATAGCATCGTAGAGAGTAAGCGATCTTCGTCGTGTTCCAAACGCTTGCGCTCCTCTTCGCTGAGTGATTTGTAACGCTCCATCATTTCCATGGGACCCTAAGACATAGATGATTTAGTGAAATATGAATTGAGGAAAATAAAAGGTAATAAATCTTAAGGAACTTTCGGACATATGGGTTTTTTTTAGTGATTCTTAGCTGCTTAGAGTTTAACCTAAGTAGACTTTTTATTTTCTTTGTTGATCACTTTCATTTGAAAGCTAATTGGGTCGGCCGAGAGATCTGCAGGAATATAGCTGCGGGCTTCTCACGGTGATCGAAGCTTCGAGTTCACTCTCCCACCTCACTCTCCTGACTCATCATAATAAAAACCTGTTAATCTTCTCCCAAATAAAATATAGTAGAAGTTTGGGTTGAATCCGACTAAAATATAATACAAATCGGGAAACATGAGAAATTAAACTTTTAGTGTTTATATTCAGTTCAGAAGGGATACTGGAGAAAAAGAAAGAAGGCCTAAAGGATTAGAACTTCAAGAGTTTCTGCATTCAGAAATTTTAAAAGAGAACTTTGCCTTTATATTACTAATAAATCTCTTCTGATAAAACATTGAGACCCACCCACCTCGGTCGACAACCGCTTCAGCGGTTAAATAGATTTACGTCTCCAAGAGGAAGAATTTACACCAGTTCTATGTATATCAGCTTCTGCTTCACTCACCTGATCCATGCCAATCATATCACGTTCTTGACTCACTGCATCTAAGAAGGCATCTTCCCAGAACTGCATTTGATTCCACAAAGTCGAACGATCACGTCCAATCAAGCCTTCGAAGAGGTATATTCTCGGACTATCCGGTGAAGGCGAGGACGAAGTGTTGATTAAATGACCGCCAGTGTAGCGAAAGCCAGCGCTGAGTGTTGATTTGCCCGACCAAATATTACCAGAGCTACGTTTCGAATCCTTCGAGGTCGTAGTCTATAAAAAAGCAAACCGAATATAAACGGTGAAAATGATTTAATATAATATAAAATACACAAATACCGTAAAAAAAAATTTATTAGTCTTAAATGAGAAATGCAGCGTACAAAACCAATTAAATAATAGCATGAGAATTTCGAGGTTAGGTTCAATGCAAAATTCGAAAATTTTCCAAACAAATCACAAATCTAAAAATAGGACGATTGTTCACTTGCACAAACCAACCAACCAACCAACCAATCAGAACATATCATTTGAAAATATTTGAAACAAGTTGTAGGAGGTACGAGTAATATTAAAAAAATACTTACATTTTCATATTCGGTATCGGATACCGTTGAACGACAACTACCGGGCATACGTACATTCAAACTACCAGCCGGTAGGAGATCACTAACAACTGAGAGAGCACCTGTAGAACCGGCACCCTGAGAATTGATACCACAAATCAAGATGCAATTTCAATTTACATTGATTCTTCTAGTTAAACTATGGAACAACAAGAAACTAGGGCAAGTACGAGTACATACATACATACATATGCGTTTATAAATCAACAAGACGTCAAATGAAACTACACAAAGCGATAATAATAAAATAAAAGTACGCCAATTATTTTTATATTGTACATATATAAATATATATTCATTCATTCATATATGTATGTATTTGCAAAAATTAAGCTCAGCAATGAATATGCACTACTTTTATTGTTAATTCATCGACTTGTAAATTATTATAAGAATTGGATTCAAAATCAAATCCTTTTATTGCACACACAGAACTATTTTTAAGAACTGGAACCAGGTACTGAAATATAAAGTATTCTTTATTGCACAACTGTAAATTCATCAGCACTGCGACAATCATCTTATTATTCATATTTAATCGACTTATCGTGTCAATCACACATCACTGTTTCTTTGTTGAAAAAAAGTGTTTCCATGAAGGCCGTGAAGGCCGTGAAGGCGTCAAAGACGACGAACGCTCTGAATGGTGCAGCATATCAACAACAGATGACAACGTGGAAAATGTAATAATAATCGCCGAATGACCCTTACAAAAATCGGTTATGATGTTGGCACATAGATTGGATAATTTTTGGCAATGTTTTAAGTCCTAAAGGCATGAAAACAAAAGTTCGTTCCGGTGTCCGGTTGGGAGTTTAAATTTCTCTGCTGCGTACTCTTCATACTTCTGAGTTAAACTGTCCTGGTACGTTATTCGAAATAATTTAGAAAATCGTTTTAGAGATGCGTAATTTGTGAAAGCTATAAAAACATGAATCGAGAAATAAGTATATTTACATATATACTGAAACAAATGAAGTTTAAAAAACCTCAAAAAACCCACTTTTAAAGAATATTAAACTAAAAAGTTGAAAACAATAGTATATAAAAAATCCTTGTATAATTGAGAGAAAAGCCTAGGGTGCTTTGTGTCATAATTTTTGTATATCGAGCGCCTCACGCTTTTCTCTCAATTGTACAAGTATAGTTTAATATTCTTAAAAAGCGTGTTTTTCTTAGTTTTTTTTTACACTATTTGTTTTATTTATTTTTTTTTTAATTTATTTGTATTTCTTCCAGATGTTGAAATAACAATTCTCGGTAAAAGCATCACTTAGCCGTGACGCGATCCAATATCAAATATATAAAATGCAAATCGTTGCATACATCATGGCGTTGCAATTAAAAAAATACTCCAAGGAACAGGGTGATATGTAGAGTGCATTCAGTATTGCAAAGAAACTGCATGTAGACGTCGCCAATTTAAAATGAATTAATCCAAAGGTGAGTTATAAACTGACCAGAGAACTTAAAGTAACGAGAAGGTGCAACTGACTTTAGGTTCTTCACTCTAAGTTCTCTGATGAATATTAGCTTCAGCGTGTTAAAAACAGGTTGTAACGAAATTTCCATCATTCCTTTTTGGATACGATAGACTAGCGGTAAGCATTGCGTACTTACATACCTGCAATTATGGTAAAAAAAATCAAGTAACGAAATTTTCAGGGTAAGATGTTTTGCTCTCCTAAAGAGAGAAATTTATTGGATTTTCACCGAGCAGGGTTCAGTTCATGAATTTTAAGTATTCATTAGAGTTTTGGTGTTGCTGACCTGAAATCCGATGAAACAGTTAAAAGGGCGGATTCAATATGTTCGCCCTTCGGCAGGGTATGTTAAGTTCTCGGAGTTGTATTTCCGAAAATGGGTTCAAAGTCATATTAAGTTATACTGAATTTCCGCACATCAAAGAATTTTTCAAACTCAGTAAATTCAATAGACGATTTCTCCAAGGCAAAAAAACAATGTTTTAAAAATTCAAATACTTTTGAAGAGAAGAATGGGTACTTCCAAGTAGAACAACAATCCCAATTTTGTGTTTTTTGAACTTTTAGGTTGGACTATCTCAATAACTTGACGTGCTGAAACTGTTTTTAATTCAGACTCGGATTCAGCACGTCAAACCTTCGAAAAAGCATAGTCCCGTTTATGGTTACAAAACAGTGTGTTATCGTTTGAAAAGAGTAAGATAATCGAGTAATCGTTAATGCATTTCGTATCGACAAAGGGAAATCCACCACAGGTCACCGAACAGAACTATTTTCAACTATACGCATCTTTTGAAAAAATAAACTAAAATATGGATATTTTGTCGGTTCCGGAAATCAGGACTATCATATAGCCTCCATTGCACATTCAAAGCGCAACACTGCTATAATAACGAATGGAGCACTTCCACATATCAGGTGTACAACTTTGCTTCTGCTGTTTTCCGATAGGTGGCTGTACCGGCTGAGGCTGGTTGAAATATATACATGATAATGCCTTTAAAGTAAGTGTGGACAGTGCCTAACGAATTGTCATCGCCGTTTCAGTGACAGTTGTTCTTGTTTTTGTATTATTCACGCTCGAAAATGTNGAATTGGCAAAATGGATTGCTTCATGTATAGCGTCAAAAGAAAACTCCTTTTTTAGAGCCGGGATGCGAAAATTGCCGGAAAGATAGGAGAAAGTTGTCGCTAGCGAAGGACAATACTTTGAATAATATGTCTCTAAGCACTTTTTCGCAATAAAGCTTTTAATTTTGGAAAAAAACGGCGGAAGCAAAGTTGTACACCTGATAATTGGCGTTTTGTAACCGCTGAAGCGATTGTCGGCCGAGCTCCTTCTCCAATTTGTGGTTTTTATCCGTTAGTATTAAACAAAAAAAATATTCTTAACAAAACCTAAATTCGGATTCCTAACGATTATTATTCTCCGCAGTTGACAGTTATTTCTCTCGCATGCATTTCTAAAGCATTTCAAAAGAAAAGCAAATATTTATGTTTGAATCAAATACTACAAGCAAATCTACAACTACGTCTTCTAGGTCATGCAGGAATACAAAAAAAATCCTCTCATGCAAACAAATAAATATGTATATACGCTACTTACGTCCGAATCGAAAGATGTGAGTTTGCTCAACAAAGCGGTACGTTTTTGCGCCAACATATCCTTAAACATCTCCGTAGTGGACTGACCATCTTGACTCTCAGCCGAAGAGACACGTCGTGATGCCGCCGAATGTGCTGCTTGCGGATTAATCATTGGACCAGCACGATCAGTTTGTGATGAATTTTTACGTGACTCTTGTGGCGATGCCCATTCGCTGCCCAGACCCGATTGCGAATCCATTGGACTTGAGGGTGAACGTAGATTCTCGCGACTACCGCTGGGACTCGTCGCATGACTGGACAATAAACTTGTAGACATATCGGTGGTTTCGTTCAGTTCCTTACTCCAAAAGTGTGTGTGCGCTATTTCCATCATTTGAAACACTGAAGCCATGCCGCCAAGGCCAAAATTAGCGAATGTTGCCTCGAAACCAGCCGTGACTGCTTGCAGACATTTCAGCATGCCCTTCCACACAGGTTTTGGTACGCACTACAGAGAGTGAGAGAAGTGTGAGTGAGTTGAGTGGTCGTGGGCGCTAGAGCGCGATGTCTTTTGTACTTACCACATCATCTATATGATCATCGGGCATGATTTTCTTATCGAGCGTTTTATTTAGTTTGCTGAGCACAAGTGTGCGATATGATTCATCTTCCATGAGTTTCTTAAATCGATTCATCTTCAACCAACCAACACCTTCGCCTGCCAACACCTGTGTGGTGATATCTTTGAGAAAAGCTTGATTCTCAGCGTTACTATGTGAACGCTCTTGATTTTGCTGACGCGTTATGTCTTCCTGCGTCTGTCCCGGACCGGAATGTTTAATGAGTGGCGTGCGTTCAACCAGACCTTTGCGGCTGGGGAATGGATCGAAATTGATGCCAGACTTAGCTTTCTGTTGCATGCTGCCGCTACTGTATTGTGCAAGTGACTGTTGTGGTTGTTGTTGCTTTTGTTGATTTTCTGCGTGGAGTATTAGAAATTTACAACACACATGCATATGTATATATTTTTTAATTGAATAAAACAACACTCACTCTTGCCACCGAACATGCCGGAGAACATGGTCGAAGTCGACGAAGCCAAGCCATTGAAGTCACTGCCAATTGATGAGAAGAAATTGCCACCTGCACCCTGCATTTGTTTCTGTGTCGCAATTTGCTGTCCCGGCGTCTGGAGCTGAGGATCCACTTTTATTATGCCCTTCTTGGTGGCGGCTTCCTTGGCTGTTTTTGTCAAATCACCTATCGTTGACTTGCTCACATAGGTGAGATCGTCGAAGGTGTGTTTACTTACTCCGGCGGCCTGTTTGGAAACTTCCAGCGCTTGTTTAGAAGCTTCGCCCGCAGCTTTCTTGGCATGTAAGGTGAGCTAATGAAGGAAAGAGACGTAAAAGGTTAGAAAAAGAATGAAGATATTTATAAAAAAAAAGGGAAAATCGAATTTTACTGATGAGTTCAAAAAGGAGGAAAGAAATTTTAAATTAGTTTAAGAGAGATAAACTAAAATTAGAGTGAAATAAATGCACACAAAATGTTGGAGTTATTAAATATTCTAATTTCATACTAGTGAAGTGACTAGTTCGAAAAAAGTGGCTCTAGTGACTTGTGCGTGAAGTGAAGTGAAGTGTGCTAAAAGCGCCACATGGAATTGAGAAACTGGTTTGCGTTTATATCTACATGTGAACTACCCATACGTGTACGAATTCAGAACTTTAGTTCCAATACTCTCACTCAATTCGCCACATCCGTAATGTGAGCCCTACGACGCCTAAAATTCGACTAAGAATACAAATTAAATGTTCGGGAAATGCGTTGAACTCTCCCTACGTCGTGCTGGAACTCATTGCTCGTTGGGTATGTCGATGTTAATTCTGGATAAGTAGAAGTTAAGTTAATTGACAACGATTCTCTCTATGCAGCTCGAGTTCTTGGTCAGCATGGGCGGGGCTTGGCTTCCGAGAACGCTATTCACGGGAAGTGAATTCAAGAAGGCGACTCTCAGTGAATGGCCTTTCAAGCCTATCAATACGCCATACTGTTTAGCGGTACCTGTCTAATTTGCTGTCATCGTCATATTTTTGTTCTGTTTTCCTGATGTGCTTCGGGGGAGGTTCTGCTTCAAGTAGGTGTCTGTTGCGATAATCCGGGCGGTAGTATCTCATCAGATATTACTAACTCTAAGGCTAACATTTTGATCCTTAGATTGTAGCATTGCTTTTGCTGTGTAAGTGAGGCATCGGGGGGTTTCTGTTATGGTCCGCAGGGGTTCCGGCTTGCTTTAGCTCCCTCATTTGCGTGTCGCTAGTTCCTGCGTCTGGATTGGTGCAGCGTAATTGTATACGGAGTGAAAAGAAGGAGGCTGTCGAATGTGACTCCCAGTAAGTTGTGGTTATTTATTGTTATAAATTTTACGTAATCGACTTTCGTCCAACCGGTAAAAAGGGTGGTCGACGATTTCGCTAATGAAGTAGTAAATGTAGAGCAGGGCAATAGTGAAAGAGGTCAGGTTTTACTGCATTCCCACACTTTAAAGCGTTTGTCAATTCGGCAGCTTCGTTAATGTCTGTAATATCTATTTGGAAAACAGAGCCGTAGTCATTGAGTTTGAAGCTGCCTTGGTTATTGGACTGGTCGCAGAAGAACCAAGCTGTGTTTGCCTCGAATTCAGACTTCTCCCTATAAGTATGTATATCAGAACTGTTCTTGATAGGCTCAGCCAAAGCATTACACTATATGTTCAGGAACATATCACTTTTTGTCTTACACAGACGGCGAGGGGACACTAATGCACCTAGAGACTAGCTGTGCCCTGCAATTCATCGCTGTGGCCCGTACTCATTGAATGTAAGAAAAAATACAAATTGGATATCTTTTCATCATAACTTTCTTCACTCAGTACTTGTGAATATACAACATTTTTGGTTTTACAATCGACGATGGAAATAACAAAAGTTATCTGCATTGCCAACCCTAGAGCATGCAACACACAATTGTCCATGGGCGAAGCAATCCGCATCTAAATGTAGACCACAAAATTTCAAAGATTGGCCCTGAGCTTTGTTGATAGTTATTGCAAACACCATTCGAAAAGAGAGCTGTAGTAGCGATCCGATTGAAAGAGAGTTTTGGACGGAATGATAAGGATTTGTAGAGGAAGAGGGAGGACGTCCCCACTTTTGAAAGTTGTGGTCAGAACTTTGTATCTATAACGTTCCTCTCAAATTTTCTGACTGCAAATTCTGATTAATATACTACGCATTATTATAATGGGCACACCGATTTTCAAATTTAATATGCGTGTTGCGATTCCCGTTAAGTCCAAAAAGTTCAAAACTTTGTTCGATAATTGACTCCCCCATCTGCATACGAATTTCAGTCCGTTAATCTACAGTGATCGCTTTTCCGTAAAGAAATAAGTTTTATTTTGAGATAAATCAAACTCCGGCTCATTTCCAGGAAACAACATTCCATTTAAACAAATCATCAAAAAAATTTTACTAAAACGAACCAAGAATGTACTTATTAAAAAAAAAAACGAATAAATATTTTTTTTTGGAATCGTTAGAAGCGCTACTCCTGCCAATACGAGTTAAGGGCCACCGGATTAAGAGTAAGTCGACCATAAATAAGATCTTTTCGAATAGCCAATCGTTGGTCAACTTCCCGAAAAAGGATTTTCGCATAATCTTTCAAAGAATCATGGAAACAATTAGACAAAATTTCAATTCCAACGGTCGGTATTTTTGGATCTTTAAAAACGACAAGAAACATGACTCAATAATTATTAATAATAATAATATAATAATTTATAATTATTTATAATTATTATAACTTATATATGTATATATGTAAATTGGTAAATCAGCTGTCTAAATGCATAGAGTTGTCGTCTGTCACAATGAAATTTTCATACACAGCGCCACGCAAACTGTTTTCCTTTAACTCGAAATTCGTTGATATAATTTTAGGCGCAGTCATTTAGTGATGTAACGAATTGGGTGAGTATTTCGCAACAAATTGTAAATAAATAATGTAGTTATTAGAATGCATATGGTTAAAGAATTGCATATAAATTGCATATATAATGTGAGTAGGCATGTAAAATTATTTAAAAAAAATGATGAATTCATTTTTAGAATTAATTTTATTATTTTTCAGTGAAATTTCCAGCTTTTAACCGATTATTTTTATGCTTTTGTGCCGTTAAGTTAGTCTGAAAGCAATGACGCTATAGTGTATGTGCGAGTAAGTTACAAACCTTTTCAAAAGTATGTCGCACTTTATCATCTAACTCTTCTGGTATACTACCCTCCATAGATCGTTGCTAACAAATTATTTGTTTTTTTTTTTTTGTTGATTTGTAAATTAAAGAACAAAATAAGAAAGCAAAAATAATAAAATATATAGAATCGTAACACCGAGGACCGCAAATGTCTATGAAGAAAAATAATCTTTTAGATGTAGTCATTATCAGCCTCATCAAACGCGCTGTTATTTCTGCTTTATTAAGACTGTATAAGTGAGCGCCCCGAATAGGTCTGGTAGTGAAAGAAGACTAGGCGAATAAATAATCCATCATCAAACAAAAAGTCACCGTATTACCGTCTCAATTCCCATATCACTGTTGGTAGTTATAACTTTGAAGTTTGGTATCTATTGGGAACAATAACAACTTCAAACGTAGATTCCATCACAACATCACCTCAACGGACCGGTGCGCTGAGCTGAGCTGGTAATTGAAAATTGAAAACTCTACAACCCATTAATCACTCCTATCCGGACACCCAATTTTGGAGCGAAAGGTTTTGTGAACGGAATATGAACCTAAGGACCAGAGTTAATTTGGTTTTGTTGACTCGGTTACATTCGCGCAAAGGGCGACAATGACAATAAAGAAGAGAAGAGGTCCAATCCGATATATTCTGCACGAAGTAATATCTGAACTTAATTCGAAGTTTTCACTCTCATCAACTTTCAGTCAATATTTTCCAACGTCTTTCTGGCAGCTTCGTCAATTCGACTTCTGTATTGCAATGGTGGCTTGAAAAATAGTGATGGGAAATCAACTCTGCACTACCTCGTCAACAGGTATTCCTAAAAGGGCTGCGGTGTGAAAGTTGCCTCATCTACGGATCTGAACTACTCTTATAATTTCTATGCACAATAGGTGCTCCATGGAGAGCACAAACCTAACACAACTCCGTCTCGTTCATTTAAACGTAGTTCGTAGATTTCCGGTGCGCAAAGATGAAGTCGAAACTTGAGAGGAAAATCTGTGATGGAATCTTCGCAGGGAACCCACCCATTGAATGCTCGTTCAAACACCTGGTTATTGCAATGTTTTTCCAGGACGTAATCTCTGCATGAAAGGAGGCCGGAAAGCACGTTGGGACTAAGATTATTTACAATAACTCTTTAACTGAAGTGATAATATGGTATCGACTCTCTTGTCTAAAGAGCTCTAAATTTAGTTACACTGCAGTCGATCGTTACAGTAAGGCTGACGTACTCACTTAACAAGGCAAGAACAAGGGTATTCTTTCCGAAAAAATTTGTCTTTAACCCAAAGATCAAGGACGATACAATCTCCCGTAGATCAGTCCAAATCTTCTTAAAGTGATACGAGTCGCTAATGAACCTCCATCTGATAGGATGCAAAATATTTGGAGCTCTATATTGAACATGCTTTTGGAGCGCTCTAAAACCAATAAGAAAAAAATTAATATCACTACGTTATATTGTATATGACGAAGCCTAATAATCAGAAAAACAAGATGAAATAACGAGTTTGACGCAGATTGCCATTTCTATCTAACCTAACCCAATCCCTTCAGGAATAGACCCAAGTCTTCCTATGACAATGTGGGATTAAACTGGAGATCTGAATAAAAAAAGCTTCAGAGAAAGATTCTTCATAGCCCTTTTCCGGTCCAGGTTATAATTCATCATAAATTACCCCTAAAAATGTAAATAAGCTTTCTTCCGCGTGCTCACCTTATCCACTTGCGCCAGCAATCCCTCTTGACTACTTTGCCGAGTAGTTTCACGTACCAGATCCTTTGCGTGGTGAGCGAAATTCTCAAAGAGTGAGCCTTGTGAACCTTGTCGACCAGGACTACTCGAACTCGATCCAGAGCTTCCTGTGCGTGCGAGTATATTGGAAACTGGTGGTGTTATTGGAGGCTGTCAAAGTAAAAAAAAGTCAAATGAAATAAAAAGAAAGAAAATACAGTAAATTCATGTGGTTTTACCGGTCGCTTCTTGTCAGCATGCTCCGTTTCGCCGGCATGTCGCTGATGCTGTTGCTGATGTTGTGGCGGTTGTTTATGTCCTAATCCCGGTGATTTTCTGGGTTCGCCACCTTCCGCTGATTCGTGCTCAATACTTGCTGCGCGTATGGTCGCCTCCAATCTTATGGCCGCAGGTGCTGCCATATCGAATGGGCCCGCACCTTCTTTGGCAGGAAATTCAAATTCAGAATCGCGACTGGGTGAACTCAAATCGGAACGGCTGGATGAGGACGACATAGGCGATTCAGCACGTTGTAGCTCATCGTCTTCGTTTATCTCAACTTTCTTAGATATGCTCTCGGGATATTGTAATGCGCTTGGTGGATGATAAACCAAAGCCGGGTCGAGATTGGATGAGAGTGTTTGTGGTACATTGTGTGGTCGGTTGTGTGCACCGAAAACATCGTGAATGCTCGGTGATAGATCTGACGATACCATTTCCGAGACAAAATCACTAAGCGAGGAATATGAGGAACTTGAGCTCTCAGCACCTTCCGAATCGGAACCACTTTCATCCGTAGGCTGGCATTCTAATTGTTTCAGTGAACGCAGCGCTCCATTCAGCGAACTACCATCATCCCACACCGCAAAGCGTATGGGTGTCAATTGGTGTGCGAACCATTTCGGCTTATCGCCCACTTGTGCTGGATCCATAACGCCAGTTTGTACGCGTAAAAAGGCAACATTAGTCGGTGTCAGCGACCATTCGGCGAGGAACTCGACAGCTTGCGTACGAGCAAACTGATTGAGGAACAGTGAAGCGCGTGGACGTGAACGTAGGAAACTATTGATTTGAAATGCGACCACTGGACGTGGATAGAGACGCAGTGTACGTGTGTGCTCGGCAAAGTTGGCTAGAGTGTTTTGAGCGTTGAAAAAACGTACCATAGCAACACGCGTAGCGACATCTACCGAATCGACGTCCGTGCCATAAATGAACGGATTCAATGCGGGCGAGTTCATGGGACTCGGTTGCCTTGAGTGTGACCCCTGCGCTGACATTGAGCTGCGTTGGCTAGCGTACGCCGATTGTGTGGGCGACTGTAACGGCAAACGGACTTGAGAGACACTGTAAAGAGAATATAAAAAATAAATTCAAAGTCTTCTTGTAGAACTCAGGCGAACTCACCCCAGTAGTGTGGGCTCTGTAAGACTGTCGCGTACCGATGGTAGCAGCTGTTGTGCAGATACGGCTTGGGTGGAAGCCGACATAGAAGAGAGCGCCTGACAGCAAAATGAAACGTGTTTAATAAATAAGAAATTTAGGAAGCAAGAAGGTCAATATCAAAAATTGGGGAAATTATACAAATACTTTATAACCGTTGTTGGAACTCAATGTAACGGAGCAGCAAGAACGTTACTCAACTAAAAAGTTGATATGTTTTATGGGTTTGAGTATGATTGGACATTGGCATGCATTTCCGGAGTGGAAGAAGTGTGAAGTATGAAATGGTTAGCGGTTGGCGTGGATGAATGATGGGAGTTGGGTTGAGGTAAAGAGATTTTTAGATTATTGAAGTCTAAAAGAGATTGGCAGTGGTTCGGAAGTTACACAAAGAAAAAGACAGCAATCAACAAGAAATTAAGAGAATTAAGAGATACTTAACACTAAATAACTATCTTCTCCAAGTGTATTTCATGAAAAAAAGCTTGCGGCTCAGAATAGAATGTTATTTAAACACTACGTCGCACACCATAAATAAAAGGATAAGGTAAAGGACACATTATGGGACTTCAGTTCTCTTCTCTTCTCTTCTCTTCTCTTCTCTTCTCTTCTCTTCTCTTCTCTTCTCTTCTCTTCTCTTCTCTTCTCTTCTCTTCTCTTCTCTTCTCTTCATTCTTCTTCTATAACTATACACTGTACAACTTCAACGGTTATACAACAAATCTACGAAATACTAAAGTAAAATAATATGAATAAATGACCATTTCATGCCAACTCAACGGATAGTTAATAAATAGATGAAATTGATGTTTACAAAATTTTAAAGTTTTTTAATTTGGAAGTGTTAGATGAAAAATTAAAGATATTTACACCGAGTCCAGCATCATCCATAAGTTGCATAGCCTGTGTTCATGTAATAAAATTTCGAAAAGAAAATAGGTTTTGTATAAGAATAATCAACATAGTAACTGTACATGTTTTTCTTAGTATGTAATGAATGAAAAAGAGTAGATTTTTATAGGTAAAGCAGTGACAAAGGTAAGTGGAATAGATAGAGAAAGAGAAATAGCATAAGCAGCAAAATTAAATTTAGCATATTGGGTGTTTCGTTAAGATCAACTATTTGAATGGATCTTGGCATGGACTGTAATACCTTGGGCTGTAATTCTGATTCGAAATAAAAGTTTCTATAAAAATACTTCAGTCATGTGAATAGGTCACTCTACGTATTTGACGCACACCACCCAGCCGACCGACACTTTTTTCTTATACCTTTCACTCTTTCTTAACAAATGATTTAATATTATTCTTATAGAATTATTGGGTTGCCCAAAAAGTAATTGCAGAGTTTTCATATAGTCGGTGTTGACAAATTTTTTCAACGGCTTGTGACTCTGTAATTGCATTCTTTCTTTTGTCAGTTATCATCTGTTACTTTTAGCTTGCTTTAGAAAAAAAGTGCGCGAAATTTTGTTTACATTGTTTGGCGTCAATTTTAATATGGAGCCCACAAAGTAGCATTTTCGTCATATTTTACTTTATATATATGAGATGTGTATGGTGATGAAGCCTTAAAAGGAAAACAGTGTCAAAATTGGTTTCGCAAATTCCGTTCTGGAGATTTTTCACTTAAAGATGAGCCACGTTCAGGTCGGCCAAATGAAGTTGATGATGACCAAATCAAAGCATTAATCGAATTGGATCGTCATGTAACTGAGCGTGAGATAGGAGAGAAGTTAAATATACCAAAATCAACCGTTCATTATCACATAAAAAGTCTTGGACTGGTGAAAAAGCTTGATATTTGGGTACCACATGTATTGAAAGAAATTCATTTAACACACCGAATCAACGCTTGTGATATGCACCTTAAACGCAATGAATTCGATCCGTTTTTAAAACGAATCATAACTGGAGATGAAAAATGGATTGTTTACAACAACGTTAGTCGAAAACGATCATGGTCCAAGCATGGTGAACCAGCTCAAACCACTTCAAAGGCTGATATCCACCAAAAGAAGGTTATGCTGTCTGTTTGGTGGGATTGGAAGGGTGTCGTATATTTTGAGCTGCTTCCAAGGAACCAAACGATTAATTCGGATGTTTACTGTCAACAATTGGACAAATTGAATACAGCCATCAAGGAGAAGCGACCAGAATTGGTCAATCGTAAAGGTGTCATATTCCACCAGGACAACGCTAGACCGCACACATCTTTGGTCACTCGCCAAAAACTGAGTGAGCTTGGCTGGGAACTTTTGATGCATCCACCATATAGCCCTGACCTTGCACCATCAGACTACCACTTATTTCGATCTTTGCAGAACTCCTTAAATGGTAAAACTTTCGGCAATGATGAGGCTATAAAATCGCACTTGGTACAGTTTTTTGCAGATAAAGGCCAGAAGTTCTATGAGCGTGGAATACTAAATTTGCCAGGAAGATGGCAAAAGGTTATCGAACAAAATGGCAATTATATATTTGATTAAAGTTCATTCTAAGTTTTATTAAAAATCCGCAATTACTTTTTGGGCAACCAATATATAACTGCTTGAGAATAATTAAGAAATTCATAAGCTAATACTTTCTCTGCCGTTTTGGTCCACCCGAACGTGATCGATCTTCTATTGCACCAAACTTTTTTTTGTTTATGAATGATGTTGATGCTATCCGCTTTTTTCTGCCTAGAAAGAAATGCGAAGCCTACTACCGTATTTGTATACATTGTTTTATCGCATAAAATGCGGAATATATTTGGTTTTGTTTGTGTTGTTTTGGTTCTTGTTGTTGTTAATTTCTTATAAGAATAATATTTAATCAATCCAAATTGTTGCTGAATATATTCGACTTAAGTGACGTAAGATGCCTTTAAGTTTATTTTTACTCTGAAGCCGAATCTTCGAATGGAAAACGATTTTATCTCTCGACAAACTGCAAAGGGAAAATAATTGACCTTAACGAAGTACCTTTTTTGAGAGATATTCCAAGTGCATATGTATATATATATGTCACAAACAAGTATATCTTTTTATGATAATCTATGAAAAGCTTCGCTGATTATTAATGATGACGACCTGCTTATATGGAGTTGATAACGGTTAAACAACCATTCGTAATGAAATGGAATGAATTTAAAGAAATAAAAGCAAAATCAAAAATTATACATAAAAGCAACGTTTAACAGTAATAATAACATAATAATAATATATAATACAATAAGTTTTATAATTTTATTTTTATAATATTGTACAGAACACAAATAAAAAAAAACAAATATACATAAAATAGTTTTTACATAACACTTAAGACAAACAAAATAAAAAGAAAAGCTTCTTAATTTTTATTTTTCACTAAGCACAAATATAAATAGCATTTTTTTGAATTAAATAACTTTATTTCATTATATATAGCAATTCTATTTTTTATTTTCTTTTGCTTAAAATTTTTTTTTTCAATTTAATTTGTTTTATTTTTTTAAGTATTTATTTTATTTATTTTGTTATTTATTTTTATTATATATTATTTTATTACATTTTATATGATTTATATTTTTTTTATTATATTTTATTTTTTTTGTTGTTTATATTATCACATCACTTATTTTTCTAAGCTATACCGTTAAAAGCTAAGCTTGATTTTTTTTTTGTGTTTTGATTATTAAAAATTTAGAATAGTGTCAATAGCTTTTGCAGAGATAGCATTATTTTCAAATCTCATGGACCAGATTTCCATAAAAAGTCACTTGCACTTACTTGTTTCAGGTGATTCTTGAGTATGGTACCCTCAGGCTCTGGCAATGGTGGTATATCGTCATGTAAGCCAGTTGGTGGTGTCAGTTTTGTGGAATCCAAATCCACAACCCAGATGTCGTCCGGTAAACTGTATATAAAAAGAGTTGGAGAATTAAAACACGCTTCCTTCCCCACTCCCTATATATCTATATATATATCTATATCTCTGAATTGGTCTTACTCACCGGAAATTCTTCTTGTAGATTAGAAATGTTGCTGGTACACCAATCACAAATGGGGTTGGTGCCAGCAACAATTGTTCAGCGCAACTCAAACATGTGGGTAGTAGCGGTATCACAGGGAACATATATTCCAATGGATAGAGCATTGTGACGAAGGCCATTACCGACATGGAGAGCGCATTGTAGTCGCGTGACTGAAAGAGTACTTTATTTTCCAGCATTATCAGCGTCCAGACTTTCAAACACGTCTCTACGCCCAACAACTCTAGCGGCAAGTGTAAGGGGAAGTCGACAAGCGAGAAACGCGTGTGATCTGGCAAAGCGAAAAGCAATGGTTCATGCACCGTTGGTGAGAGTACTTCGACCTGAAAACACGGTTTAAGTACACATTGGGCACATTTTATGCTATTAACAAACCTCTATACGCGTGGAGCCCGGCACAGGAACCGGAGTGGAGAGCAAACGCAATATCCACGTCTCGATCTCGCGCACATCGTGCAACACAATCGATGAGGTAGAGTCGGCGCTCGAATGTCCCGTCAACACCGTCCATACATTGTCACGATTCACCTTCTGCGAAGCGCCCAACCGTTTCGGTGATGACGACTCGTTGCAGGCATCGATCAATTTCTTCAGTATGAACAAACATTCACGGAAGGTGGAGAAGAAGGGGTGATGCGAGATGATGCAGAGCGAGGTGAGTGATTGATTGCGTAGTTTGGTGCGCTTTCGTGAGGCGCGCGGTGATGGCGAATGACTGCCACCCGATTCGGAGTCGGCGGATGGCGCCATCAAACCTAACTTCGGTATTTGTTGTTGTGTATGACTCTGTTGTTGTTGTTGTTGTTGTTGTTGTTGCGGGCCATGTGAGTTATGTGCGCCATGTGCTAAATGGTGTTGTTGGTTGTTTGGCGGATCCGAGTCGCGACGTGATGTCATTTCACGATCCGAATCACTTGGCGCGACGTTACTTCTGTAGTCGCTAGAAGAAGTTAAGAGGCCGTAACTATTACAAGAAATATATCGTTTAGCATCATGATCAGATATGAGTTGGTGAGATGCGGATTTGTGTTGTGTGCATGATGAGGTTTGTGCAGGCGAATCTATAGAATTAACTTGCCTACTAAACGCGGAGTCTGAGCTACGTTCCATACTCTTGCGCCAGGATTCACGTCTGAAGGCGGAACTCCGACGTCCCCGTGTACTTTGTGCCAGTCCCACAGCGCCATGATTCCCACCCAAAGCGCTGCGTTCCACATTCGCCGTATGTCTTTCGATAGGTCGATAGAAATTGACACAAATTCCATAACGAGTTTTACCCGAATCCTTATCGGTAAGTGCAAATACGAAAGATGTCATGTCACGTATAGCCGATCCTGTGCGTCGCGGACCTACACTCGTGCAACCCTCAGGTTGGCAAAAGTATACCATATCGAGTGGAAGGGGGAAGTCTGCATGATCCGAAGGCGGATAGCGCCGTAACAGCTCTGGTATCTGGTAAAAAAAGAAAAACACTTGTACTTCGTCCTCAATCTCATTAAGTTCTATTCACTATAAGATCTCTAAAAATCTCTACAGCGACCACTTGTCGGTAGTATTACAAAACTTCCAGAACTGTAATAGGCTTCTGTCTTCTACATTAATACAACTGATTGTGATAGCTGAGCTCCCGTAACTCTTTGGAGTCCTCATTAAATCCGCGGACGACTTCACTTACCTGCACCGGCGGTGTCTTATTTCCTGGCAAACCTTTCGGGATGGGCGGTGTAGTGCGTGCACCCACTATTGCCATATAATCAACAAGACGTGGACACAGCGAAAGTTTTTGTTGTTCAGCCATTTTTTCCGTATTTTGCTCAAAAATTTAGTGTATCTTTACAATTAATGCCCTCCTCTTTCTTTTTATGAGCAACAATGGCGTATGCCGTCCAAATGTCTTGATCTTTTTCAATCTGTTGTTTTGTTATGACTTTTGGTGATGCTGAAAGAAAGAAATGATAGCAATTTTATTTTTATAGTTCATGAAATATTAAATTTAGTTTAATATTTACATTTATCATGATTATTGCTCAACAGAAAACTTTAAAGAAACCCAACCAGCGAGTAAGAAAAGAGTGAGTCAGAGAGTCATAGAGTCATAGGGGTAAGGAGCTGATGAGTAATTTGAGTTTTAGCGAGGTTGGAATCCATGAATTGACTTCATGTCAGCATCAGTGATTGCTGTACCTTTTAAAGCACCTCTAACAGTTTTTTTACAATCCTCAATTTTTTTGGGTGGGAATAACAAGCGAAAACCATATCTTTTGAGGTGAGGAGTAGTAGAACCCGTATTTTGAGTCATGCAGAGGTAAGAATAAAAGCTGAGACGGGACAAGGACGAAAGCGAGTAAGTTCTTGTGACAATTACTAGATCGGCCATATAAAGGAGCTATCATTTGGTGTTGGATTTGTAGTGCGAGAGAGCCTCCGTCATCGAGTACTGGCATTCAGCCCGGTGGTTGAGCGTCTCGCCACAATATGCATCGAAGTGAAATTTTTCAGCATATCGTTGATTTGCGCCTCCGACTCGGCGATTTGGCCAAAGATGCCTTTTATGAGCGCCTAGAGCATACCTAAGGGCGTTGCACCCGACTGCTGGAAAATTCAGCCTTCATATCGAAATATCCTCTAATTTGGTTGTCTGTTGTAAAAGATTCCAGCACGAAAAATATGCCGAAAGATTTTCTACTCGACTTGCACTCCTGATCGCTGAGAGCACTCATCAGCAACTCGGTATACCGGACTTGTGAGACGGCATTTAAAGCTCGTTGCCGCACAGTTGCAAACGAAGCTATTATATTTCGTAGAGTTCGCGAAGACGGGTGGCACGATGAGGACTGTCGTGTCGTAGTAGAGAGAAAAAAAACTGTCTACCTCGCAACCTTGCGGTCGACCACAACACGTGTGGGTTGCGATAGATACCTAGATCTGAAGAGGGAAACAAGTCGCATCTGCAGACAAAAAAAAAGAAGAAAGAAGCCGATGTGCATTGGCATAAAGAGTTTGAGAAGCTCTGGCTAACAAGAGAAATCTTCGAATATTCTATGAGGAGATACAACGACTTATAGAAGGTTTCAAGACCAGAGCGAACTCCTGTAGGATACAAAGAGGTAATCTAATATGAACCCAAACCCCAAATCGATGACGATGGAAAAAACGTCATGCCCGACTATTGGAATTTAAGTGTGCTCTGCCCAATCCATAAAAATGGACACCCCACAGTTTGCGCCTCCTTAATATCGCCAATAAGGTCCTATTAAGGGTATTGTGTGAAAGGCTAAAGCCCACCGTCAACAAACTGATTGGGCCTTATCAGTGTGGCCTTATACCTGGTAAGTCAACCATTGACCAGATATTCATCATGCGCCAAATCTTGAAACGAACCGTGAGAAGAGGATCGACACCTACCACATCTTTGTCGGTTTCAAAGCCACTTTTCACAGCGCAAATAGGTGCTGCCTTTGTGCCGCTATTTCTGAATTTGGTATCTGATGTTAAACAACATTAAAAGTTCCGTCAAGATCGGGAAGTACCTCTCCGAGCCGTTCGATACCAAACCAGTTTTCAGACAGGGTCCTTATCGAGCGATTTCTTCAATTTGATGCTGGAAAGAATAATAAGAGCTGCAGAGCTGAATAGAGAAGGTAGAATCTTCAATAAGAGTGTACAGCTGTTGGCGTGCGCCGATGATATTGATTTGATATGGGTCTGGTAGTGAACGAGGGCAAGACGAAATATGTATTGTCATCAAACAAACGGTCATCGCATTCGCGACTTAGCTCTCATATCTCTGTTGACAGTCATAATTTTGAAATCGTAGATAATTTCGTCTATCCAGGAACCACTATCAATAATAATTCAGCTTTGAAATCCAACGCAGAAGCACTCTTGAAAACGTGTGATACTTTAGGATGAGTAAGCAATTGAAAAGTAAAGTCCTCTATAGACGAACGAATACCAAACTCTACAAGTTCCTCATGGTTATATGGTGCGGAAGCATGGACGATGACAACAAATGATGAGTCGGCGTTAAGAGTTTTCGAGAGAAATATTTTGCGTAAGATTTATGATCCTTCGCTCATTGGCGACGGCGAATAGCGCAGACGATGGTACGATGAGCTGTACGAGTTATACGGCTACATTGATATAGTTCAGCGAATCAAGAATCAGAGGCTACGCTGGCTAGTTTATGCGGTCCGAATGGATGCGAATACTCTAGCTATGAAAGTTTACGATGCAGTACCCGCCGGAGGAAGCAGAGGAGGAGGAAAACCTCCACTCCCTTGGAGAGATCAGGTAGAGAAGGACCTGGCTGTACTTGGTATTTCCAATTGGCCCCAATCAGTAAAAAAAAAGAAGCTAATGGCGCAATGTTGTTAATTCGGCTATGATCGAGTAAGCGGGGTCTACACCAGTACAGTAAGTAAGTAAGAGGATTTTACTCTTGGGATTTCTACCTCACACTAGGAAGTAGATCAAAGTGTTGACTTCCGAAATACTATCCGATACGCTCATTCATCTTATGCTGATTGGGAGAATCAACTTCTTTGGAAGCAACGAGTAACGGGAGTGTGCAGCTCTATAATTCCAAATTCAGGCTTTCAGGCAGCTGTACCGGTATAATAACAAAATGATTCCAGCGTACCGAAAACGAAAATTTCAAAAAAACCTTTTTTTCGAAATTTGTTTAAACAGTTTTGACCATTGTGTAGAACTTGGACTTTATTTATTGATAGAGCAATTTAATTCTCTGGACTGAGTAGGTAGTCCAAAATAAAACCAGTTGACACGAATAACTCCATATTGGATTTCAAGGCTGTGTTTATTATTGGTGTTGACACTGGTTCAAAAATAGACGAAATTATCTACGATTTCAAAGTTGCGACTATCAATCTTAACCTTAAACTGAACTATTAAAACCGAAGCGCGAGGGTCTTAACCGTTTGTTTGGTGACAGTGGAGTTTTACTATCGTTCGTTACTAGACCAATTTGCTTTGCTCTTTTCCTAGTGTTGGAACGACTTGGAGAAATCTTTCCTGATTCTGTCTGTGGTATAGCATCAGTTTACACGATCCCATGGCATAAGCATAGGGGCCTCGCAACATCTCCGTTTCGGCTTTAGTCTTACCCCCAATAGGCAAGAAAGCATTTTATATACAATATGATTGACGCGAAGAGTGTGAATTCCCCCGAATCTAATAGTTTGGCCAAAGTACACCAAAGTTCCGATCGTCGGGGATGCCTTCGTCCGCCCATATCCTGAAAAGAAACTGATTTATGCACCTCGTCAGTTCATCGCCGTCGTAATTGAATAAGCTCAACCCGTAAGCGATAGCCTGCCGCCACTTGATCTAGTTCTCGTATACCAGGTTGATGTCGCGTGCTTTCATAATGCAAGCCTAATAGAAAGCTGCTTGTTTGCCTGTTGCGATTGTATGATATCATTTTATTTACTGTTATGGTGGGAGTTGTAACTAAAGTAATTTCGAATGGACTATTTGCTGGCCTCATGTGGTCTACTAGACTTTGATTCACACTGTTCCACTCACCATATTGAGTTATCGTCCGAAGTTTATTATCAAAAATATAAAATTACTGCATAAATCCATTCAATGCTTTTAAAATAATATTTTCCCTCGATATTTTTCAATTTGCCCGAATTAATGAGCCATTCTTGTGAAATTCCACCTCTAACGATGAGCAAAGAGAAGAGTAAATAATAAATGTTTCAATAAATTTTTGTTCACCACCGTAAAGTGAAATTGTCGATTTAACAAACGATAACATCCACTCCCCCACATCCTTTCGCAACCACTAGCAGCCTGACGTGTCCTGTACGCCATTCAATTAAACGAGTTTGTTGACTGTTTGTCTGGTCGCACGCAGAGCGAGCGCTGTGAGCCGCCGTGGATTACTGCACGTACACAGGCACAGACACAGGTGAACAACATCATTAACACACGCACGCACATAATTTCAACTGGCAATGCCTTTTAGCTTTTTTAATCACAGGCGCATAGCTACATACATATGTACAAACATAAATATTTATTTGACCTTTTCGCCTCGGAGGATTATGTTTTCATTTTCAATAAAGACGGCTACGGTATTTCAGCAAATATTTTCTCAATTTTTTTATGGGTTTAGCGATATTAATGTGTGTGTGTGTGGATAGGCCTAAAATGTTGAGGTCCACAAATACAAGTTTACCATTCACTTTCACTTGTGGTTTCATAAAAACACATAAACAGTTATTATTTTTTAATGCTAAAATTATAGAGTTTTAGTAAAGCAACAAATATCCCCGAATGAACTAAGAGACTGTTTCACTGATGCTAAGCTTCTCATGCTTATGACGCGCAAACACTTTCTATAAAGCAACTAACTAAAATCATTTAGGAAAGTAAGAAAGGTTGGGTCGAGTCATCGTGGTACATCGTGGGTAACACTACATTACCCTTTCGCTTTAGCGACCGAAACCGTTCGTACTCAAACGGAATGTCCTCTCTGAAGCGGCGCCGACTACCTGGAAGTGTGTGTGTTGTAAGGAACTCTCTGAGCAGCACACATACACATCCGGAAGAACCAGAGTTATGCTCACCGATTTCGAACCTTTATCAGGTGTGCAACGTGAGTTCGTAGAGGTCGACGAATGATGGTATGCGTCGCTCCTAAAGGGAAGAATATCAACATAATGCCAACCTTTTTTTCAACAGCAGCTACACATGAATATCCAGTTTCTTTAGAAACCATGCAATTACCATGAGACTTAGTCATTCTGTTAATGATCTCTGGCAAATGTTCGCCCTTCCCTCCTTGTCCTGTTCATTGTACCTCCAGATAGGCATAACATCCACATTGTACCTCCAGATAGGGACATCAACATATTGAGCAACGAGCCCTCCCAACTTTACGTTCTAGATGTCTCTTAGCTCTCACAT